CTGGGACCCTTGAGTCCACAGGCCGACGCTCTATCCACTGAGCCAAACCGGTTTCGGCTCATGTTAGATTTTTAAAGTCATATTTATTACATCTCAGACCATTGACTATTGCCTGGATGATGCTGCAGGGAAGTCTGGCACTGGGCTGAAGGGATTTAATATCTGCAAGTTCATCAAAGCTGGTCATTCTTTTAGAAGTGTTTTATTAATCCTGCTTTGTGTTCATTGTTTTCGGAGCTCAAATCTTTAAAATAATACAAAATATTTACCAGTATCTGTATCTAAGGTCAATGATTACTCTCCTAAAACCCGGAAGCTAGAAATATTTGAAATTGAGAAACGCAGGACTTGAGGAGGGAGAGTGGTCAGGCCCTGTCTTACATACCCTTTACATTCATTACAGTCACACAAGACAGGAGTCATTAACAGAGGAAATGTGTGTCATTTTTGCACAATGTAAATTAGCAGTAACACACCATTGCTGTGGTCTTTGCCCTGCTTTGCTCCCCAGAAATTTTCACCACAACTTCTGTGATAATTAAAATTCTCAATGGCTTTGCTGTTGGCACTTTGCACTCTAAGAGTATTTGTATTTGCACGTATCCCAGTGTTCAGGCGTCTCAGCTTTGCTGGGTCAGAGTTACTAGCTTTTATTTCCCATTTTGATTCCAGGGACTCTATATAACTTACTGGAAGACTTAACATGAAAAAGTAATATTTTCTATATAATTTAATGTGCACATTATACACAGCTGAAAAGTCATTTGTCCAATTATTTGTGGCTTTATAATTTGTGTTGATAGGCAAACTCTGGACAAGAAGTATGAAGGTTGCTTACAACATTCTGCATAAATTAGGTACAAAGCAAGAACCGATGGTGCGACCTGGAGATAGGGTAAGTGCAATTTAATTTATTACGTCTCCTAAACACATTGTCTTATGTTGAAAAGATGCCCACTGTTGTAAAGTTGGAGAGTCCAGTGTCACCTAAAACTGACACTACTAAATAAGACTTTCTTTAAAAAAACAACATATTTTAATGATTTCAGAGAGGAAAGGATGGGGAAAGAGAGATAGAAACATCAGTAATGAGAGAGAATCAGTGATTGACTGCCACCTGCATGCCCCACACTGGGGATGGAGCCCACAAACCATGCATGTTCCCTGACTGGGCATTGAACCGTGACCTCCCAGATCATAGGTCAACTCTCAACCACTGAGCCATGCTGGCCGGACAATAAGACTTTCTTAACATTTACTCTGAACAAGTATCAATTATTTGACAAATAATTTATTCTTGAGCAACTCAATGGGCTTAACTAGAGTACTTCTTACATTCTATCCATGAGTTCAGATGGACTTGAGAAGTTAAGTCTCAAAATCAGATGCAGGCACAGAACTAGAAAGTGGCATAGTCAGCACTCATATCCATTTCCGTCTGACCCCAAAGCTTGTGTCATATATTGTCTCCTATTTTGAAAAACACTTGTACCATGTACTTGAGCATGCAGGACAATTATATTTGAAACTTTTTTTTACATGAGTCAGTGAGATGACAATCTTGGCAGCAAACTGCTAGTACCATTCCTTCCCCACTGTTAAATTTATTGACATTGGCTGCCTTTTATTGAAAAGCAAATTTTTATTCTTACTGAGCAATCTGATAAGTTACAGAGGACAGATATTGGTATTTCCATTTCAGTGTCACACTCACAGTAGGTAATAATCTTGTCCAAGCTTTACACCGTGATTTTGATGTGGGGCTGGATATAGAACCCAGCTTTCTTGCTTTTTTTTCATATGCTGCTATGTACTTTAGATGCCATAAGATTGGATTATCTTACCGGCACCCAAAGGACTCCAAATAAATTTTATAAAAATATCATTCTAAATTACCATAACCCAACAAAAAATAAGCTATGATTTACTTCAGAGATATTATAAAGACACTAAAGGCCCAGTGCACGTGCACTGGTGGGGTTCCTTGGCCTGGCCGGTGATCGGGACCAGTTGGAGTCATCTCGCCCAGCCCCGATCAGGGCCGGCCGGCCGGGGGAAAGGTTGGCAGGCCATGGGAGGTTGGCTGTAGGAGTGCACTGACCACCAAGGGGCAGCTCCTACATTGAGCATCTGCCCCCTGGTGGTCAGTGAGTGTGATAGTGACCGGTTGACTGGTTGTTTGGTGGAGCAGTCATAATGATCACTTAGGCTTTTTTATAGGTAGATAGCCCATTCTAGGGAATTTTTTACAAGCGTGCTGCCACCTGCACTCTGATTCTTTGGGGTAGACTATGGAGATTCTTTCCAGATTTTTATTGAACAGGTTTGGCCTTTAGCTTGTCACTTGGAGGCCTCATACTTACTGATTATAAAACTTATTACAAACGTGCAGTAATCAAAATAGTGTGGTACTGACATAAAGACAGACATAGAACAATGAAACAGAGAGCCCAGAAATAAATCCTCACACATATGGTCAAATGATTTTCAAGAAGGATGCTAGACATTAAATGGGGAAAGGATAGTTTATTCAATAAGTGGTGCAGGGGAACCTGGATATCTACAAGCAAAAAAAGTTATTTAATCATTATAATACATATAAAAAATTAATTCAAAATATATCGAAGATGTAAACATAAGAGCCAGAACTTTTAGAATAAAACATAGGGGGAAATCATCATGACATTGAATTTGGCAGTGATTTATTGGATGTGACATCAAAAGGCCAGATTAAAAAAACAAGATAAATTGGTCTTCATCAAAATAATAAAAAAACTTTTGTGCACCAAAGGGCACTATTAAAAAGGCAACATAAAAAATGAGAGAAAATGTTTGCAAATTATATGTTTCATAAGTGATTAGTACCCAGAATAGACAGTATAAAGAACTCCTACAGTTCAGCAATAATAGCAACTAAAAAAAAAAAATCAGAAAGAATATATGCACCCCTATGTTCATAGTAGCATTATTTACAATAGCTAAGATCTGGAAACAGCCCAAGTGCCCTTCAGTAGATGAGTAGATTAAAAAGCTGTGGTACATTTACACAATGGAATACTATGCAGCTGTAAAAAAGAAGGATCTCTTACCCGGTGAGATAGTATGGAGGGACCTGGGAAGTATTATGCTAAGTGAAATACACCAGTCAGAGAAAAGCAAATATCCCATGATCTCACTTACATGTGGAATCTAATGAACAAAACAAACAAACAAACAAAATAGATCTAGAGAAATGGAAGCATGCAACAGACTGATGCATCAGAGGTAGGGGGAGAGTAACCAAAGATCTTATATGCATAGGTGCATAACTCATGGACACAGACAATAGTGTGGTGAAGGCCTGGGGAAGGGACAGGAGTGGGGAGGAAAGGGTCCGTAGGGGGAAAAGGGAACATCTGTAATACTTGCAACAAAACAGATACATTTTTTAATAAATGGGCAAAGGACTTGAATAGACATTTCTCTAGAGAAGATTTACAAATGGCCAATAAGCACATTAAAAGATGCTCAGCATCACCAATCGTCAGGGAAATGTACATTAAAACCACAGTGAAGTACCACCTATACCCATTTGAATGTCTACTATCAAAAATAGAAAATAAGTGTTGGCAAGAATGTGAAGAAATTGGAAACCTTGTGCATTGCAGTAGGAATATACAGTTGTGTAGCTGCTGTGGAAAACAGTATAGTGGTTTCTTAAAAAATTAAACATAGAATTGCCATATCATCCAATAATTCTTCATTTTCAAAAGAATTGAAAGCAGGAGCTTGAATAGATATTTTTACACCAATGTTCATAGCAGCATTATTGATAAAATCCAAAAGGTGAATGTAACTGAAGTGTCCATAGATACGTGAATGGGTAACAAAATGTGGAATATATGTACAATGGAATATTATTCAGCCTTAAAAAGGAAGGAAATTTGGGCAGTGCTACAACATGGATGAACCCTGAGGAATTCTGTTAAGTGGAATAAACTGGTCGTAAAAGGGTAGATATCATATGATTCCACCTATATGAAGTACTTAGAGTAGTTAAATTTATAGAGACAGAAGAATGATGGTTACCAGGAGCTGGGAGAGGAGCATGGGGAATTGTTATTTAATGGGGATAGAGAAGAGCAAAAAGTTCGGGAGATGGCTGATGGTGATGGTTACACAACAATGTGAATGTATTTAAATCTGCAGAATTGTACATTTGAAAGTAGTAGAGATGAACTATGTTATATATAGGGTGCCCCAAAAAACCATACACACGCTTTGAATAATTATAAAGGCAGTGTTTATTAAAATACATTTAATTTTCAAAATTGAGCTATCAGCTGTTACAGTGTGTATATTTTAGTCTCCCTATCTATACTATTGGTTATACTAATACCCTTAGTATTTTTTAAAAAAAAATTTTTATAGTATTGCCTGCAGATTCTTAAAGTTCTCTTATAATTACAAAATAAACCACATCTGTTCAGCTAAGATGTTTATGGGAATATGATGGGAGGAGAGTACAGTTTGATAGAATAAAATATGTAAAGGATTTTTTTTAATATATTTTATTGATTTTTTTACAGAGAGGAAGGGAGAGGGATAGAGAGTTAGAAACATTGATGAGCGAGAAACATCGATCAGCTGCCTCCTGCACGCCCCCTACTGGGGATGTGCCCGCAGCCAAGGTACATGCCCTTGACTGGAATCGAACCTGGGATCCTTGAGTCTGCAGGCCGGCACTCTATCCACTGAGCCAAACCGGTTAGAGCTAAAGGAATTTGTTTTGTTAGTGGCTGGTTTGTGTAGTATGAGGGGGACTACTTTTCTAAGTTATTCTTTGAAAATTATTTATGTGGCGGTGACGTGGCCAGGATGTTGGATGGGGAGATGGCTGCCCTGTCAGGTTGGGGTGGGGTGGGGGGGAAACCAGAGAAGAGTTTGAGATCTTGGACCCGAGCCTGCGGGCTGGAGGTCCTGCAGTGTGGGGAGGCCGGGGCGGGGGCCGGCGGCCGGGGAGGACTGGTGGGCGCCCATCCTGACCCTGGCACGCAGGACCACAGCAGCCGCGCAGAAGAAAGGAAGACAGCAGTGCCTTGCACAAAAGCCATGAACAACAATATCAGCGTTGTGGGCAGTAAAAATACAAATACTTGACCAAGCAGATCCACAGATTTGCAAGTGCAATGAGCAGCCATGCCAAACTCGGGGGGTGATGACAGAATGGACCCCATGTTCACAAGCCTGTGAAAGAGGGAGGCAGAGCAGACAAGTGACATGTACCCAACCACTGAGCACAGGAGCCCTGAGGAGGGCCCCCGAGGGGCTGCGTTGGGCTCGCGCCAGCCTCTGCCCAGTGCTGCAAGGGCCAGGACTACGTGACCCTGTGGGGGGCAGGAGTACGGTCAAGTGTGGCAAAGGTGTGGGTCCCTGGAGGGCGAGGTGTGCCACTAACCCCAGAAACAACAGCCTCCTCTCCACCACACCCTCAACGAGGCTGAGGGCGGTGGGATTACTCAAAATGCTACCTGGGGTGAAATGCTACCTGCTCTAAGCCCACCATAGGAACTTTAGACTTTTTTTTGTTTCAAAAAATCGTTCCCAACACCACGGACACACTGGGGTCAAAGCCCCTCTTAGGAGCTTGGCTGGCCCCGCCCCCTCCACAGGGTCACCGTGGAAACGTGGCTAAGGAGATGCCTGCCTTCCACACTCCACATTCCACATGGCAGCTGTGGGAGAGTAAGATGGATTCCAGCTCTAACCCGCTGGAGAGGAAAGGGTGAAGGGATGAGGAAGCAGCATCCGGTGCTGAACTGGCATGGGAGCCTAACCAAGTAGGTGATGAAGATCTGGCACCCTAGAGAACAGGACAACCTCAATGTAATGGAACTGAACCAGGGGACACGAATCCTGAAACTGCCTGAAGTGCTGAGATCCCAGAGGCTGAAGTCGGGCTCCAATGGCCAGAGAAAAACCATTCAGTTTTCCCTGGACTCCAATGAAGAGGAAACCACAGCCCCCAGGAGCCAGGATAGCAGTGCTGCCAGCTCCAGGACTTCACTGCTGCTGAGGGTCAAGGCGCCAAGCAGGAACTCCGTGACACCGAGGTCCAAAGAGGCCACCAGGACCGCGCTGCTGAGGTCAGCCACGTCCACCGGGGCCGCGGTGCCGGTGCTAGCCAAGCCCGACCCAGTCAGTATCCAGGTGAGCTGGGACCCACGGGGGTTCTGGGCAATGGACACTAGTACTAAGCTCAGACCCCAGGAACCAGGAATACTTCCTACAAGGGAGGACTCCAGTAGTCCCCCTCCATCATATTTTCGTTTAATAAGTGATTTTTTGAAGCCAGAGAAACCAACCAAGGCAGCAATGGGGCTTATAAAAAAGACAGTAGAAGTGTTGAAGTTAGACCACCAAATAAGAGAAACTAAAATCCAGCAAAAAATGGTAACAGAGGAAGCTGCATTCCTACTCAATGAAAAGTTACCTGTCCAGGCTGGCACGACAGTCATGCTAGCAAACCTGACCAACAAAGCTAAGGAGTACAGAAAAGAAATTGAAAATCAGTGGCACACCTATGCACAAGTAAGTGGCGAGACCTTACCAACGAAACAAGAATTAGCCTCCAAATATGCAAAACAAACTTCAGACTTTAAAACAACACCGCTCTTGGGGAAGGAAATCCTGGAATACAGTTTGAAGCAGCAGTTGGAGGCAGTGAGGGACATGTCACAGGTAAGGGAGAAACAGCAGAAAGAACTGCAGACATTACAGAAGAAGCTAAAGAAAGCCCGAGCTAAGACAGCTGCAAAGGCCCAGGCCCGGTACCTCCAGGAAAAAGCATTACTGGAGAAGCAACTGAATGAACCAGCCATGGGCATGATGGGAAAGAGGGAAGAAAAGGAACTAAAAAGGAAGGTCCGGGCCTTAGAAGTGGCAGCAGAGAAGCGTGCTTCTGAGTTGCAACGCCTCCGAGCAGAGGAGGAGGAATCACACCAGGAGGTAGAACAGCAGCCCCAGCAGCCCCCGGTGGACAAGACGCCCCAGAGCTGGTTAAAGCTTCAGAAGGGGCATCTGCAGAAACATTGGTCTGTAAAGCGCATACCTGAGAGGCCAGTACTGCAGCCCGTTGCTCCAGGACCACCACAGGCTGCCCCAGGACCACCACAGGCTGCCCCAGGACCACCACAGGCTGCCCCAGGACCACCGCAGGCTGCCCCAGGACCACCACATGTTGCTCCAAGGAGCAGAAGAAGAAGTTCCGTAGCCATCGATTCCAATCAGTCCACATTACTTTCTAAATTGTCACAGATTCAGTAAGGACTGGGGCAAGGATTCCTAGGTGCTGCCTAAACCTGGTGAAGAAGGTTTTTAGACCTCATTGCCACTGTAAAATGCCCATCGCGATGTGTTAGTGTGAAGGATTAGGTGCTTTGTTACAGCGGAACTGCTAGATATTTGTGCTACCAGCCTCCCTTCATTCGGATTTTCTTTCATTAGCTCCTGGTAGTAAGCAGGGTGTTCCTCAAGTCTTCAGATAACCTAACACCATTTGCCAAACGCTCCTACATGAAACGAAGTTGAGGAAACCACCTTGAGGACTTGAGAGGAAAACAGTTGTGTGATTTATGTCATCTAGCTGAAGCAGATTTCTGTATAAAAGCACGTTTAAGGATAGCATCTCAGATTGACTTTGTATAGTGCTTTCTGCTCTTTAACCAGCCAACATCGGTGTACCCTCATTCCTTTTGGCCAATTCAACACAAAGGCAAAATGTTTTTAAAATTTTTTTAGAAGAAATTTGTGCCAAGTAGGCACAAATGACCAGGTAGCCCCTCCTATAGTTTGCTCATGAGTGAGAAGGTATTCTTATAACATCAAGATCAATAAATGCTAGGCAGAACAACCTTTTATCTGAGGCAGCCCTTAACTTTTAACTTTCAGTAAATTGAAAAGGGAAGATAGAGGGGACATATATTACCTCAACTCTTTTGAAAAAAAGGTATTTATGAAGAAATACCTTTACAATTAATAAGGTGGCTGAATGCCTCTGCTTGTTTTGTCTGTTCGGTTTTAAAGTATCAAAAGAAAAAATTTAAATATTTGGATGACTTTTTAGAGTCTTGTGCTATCTCTTTCTGTAGCAACACCCTAAATTCTAAGATGACAGCATTACTTAATGTTAACTATAGTAAGTACTTTAGCTTCAGGTCCCCTATTACATTTTCATACTGTATGCACTTAATAGTGCATGAAATACCTTTTGTAATTAACATGTGCCATATATTTATGCTATTTAATAGAACTGGGAACAGTAATTTAAATTAGTATAGACTTTAGGGTAATTTTTTTACATTTATGACATATTGATGGTTAGACCAGTGGTTTATTTGAATGCTGAGTTCTAGTACAGAAATATAATCCTCTATGTCAACATTGCTTTTCTATGGGGAAATACAATCAACTGTATGTTTTCTGGAAATTGTCAGTAATGAAAAACTTCAAAATAACTTTATTGAACTTTATTTTATGTGTAAAATGAATTCCTTTAAGTTGCATTACAAAAAGGACTCTACCTCAATGTGCCTTTAACTTCTAGCTTGAACAATTTTTCTGTTAAATACTCCTTATTAAATAAACATTTCGTTATTAAAAAGTAAAAGCCTACTTGGATTTCATATTGTATTTATGTGGCTAGTATCTGGCATGTGTGTATAAATATTTATTAAATAAGCATACAGGAGTAAAGTATTCAATAATTACCTTCTGTTGCAATAAATAGGATTCTTGGGAAATCATCTTTGGATGAACATTCAGTCCTTAGCATAAAAATTATAGATACTTTTCATGTGGGTAATCCTATTAATGCAGTTTGGGGAGGACCTTCTGGGCTTTGAGAAGGGCATTGAAGTACCTAAGCTGCCTAGGTTTCAGGATGTTGTAGGAGGAGCTGTGGGAGATACAAGACTTATCACATGAGAAGCCTGCCATCAAGGAGCTTGCAGTCTTTAATAAACAACAACAACAACAACAAAAAACAGACATATTGTTCATTAGGTTTTCTATAAATTGGAAAGGGATACAGGTCCCCAAAAGAGACTGTGATTGATACACCTGTGAACTGTTTGGGAAGGAGAGAGAGATCTCTTTCATGTGGGATCTGAGAAGTTTTGTAGCTCCAAGGAAGAGCATGTGAAAGAACTGGGGGTGGGGGAACAGAATGTGTTGTGCTGGAAAAGACAAGCCAGGCAGGTACACAGTAGGGTTGAGTGTGGGATCAAGATGGAATCGGCTTAACAAAATTTAAACCTTAGCAAACACTAGGATGGGCTTCTGCCTCTTGCTTTGTTGATATCTATTCTGAGTCTGTGGATAATTAGGTGCAATGAAATCTCAAAGGAATACATAGAGAATCAAATGAATGGAAACCGTGTGGGTTTATGATATCTTTGGAATCACTGTGAAGAGTCCACAAAACAGGACTTGTGACTGATCAGATATTAAAGGAAAACTTAATGAGAATGATAAAAGTATAAACTTCCCTTCCTTAAAAAAAATTTTTGACAAAAATATATATCATTTTTTATTCTAAAAGAGCCTTTGGGTATTTGACCCTTTTCTATTCATTATTTTAATATGATTGAGAGCTTATAATGTGCAGTTTTATATTCTGCTTTTATTCACTTGACATTAATACAATATTTCATCCTATCTTAACACAACTGTGCAAGGCTATATAAATGGCCTTATCAGCATAAGTTTTAGTGATAGAGCAGGGGATTTTAAATCCTAGATCAAGGTGACCTTCCTTTGAGCAGAGCTTGGATGGCAGCTAAACTCAAACCTCAGAAACATAATTGCTGCACAGTCCAGCTCAGAAGGATGACACTTTCTTTCTCTCTGTTCTCTGCTCGTGATGATGATTCGCACCTGCAGAACAGGTAGATTTTAGGGAGAACAGGTCAGTGTGTAACAGGTCCCTTATGAATGGGTGAGACCATCCGTTTCAGGTGGAGCTTCAGTGTGTTCTGCTTTTGTGTTTGATCAGCTTCCTTAAACATTTTGGCCTGCGTCAGGGAAGGAAGTCATGCGGCAGTGGTAGCCTGGAAGATTCACAGACATTTAATAGAATATTCTTGCTTCGCCAGATCCAGATCTGAAGACAGATCACCTCTCAGCCTACCAGCCGAGGGCAGAACACCGGAAGCTAATGCGCACCTCAGATAGATTTCAAAAATAATTGGTTGTGCTTTGTGTGCATAGACATGCATTCCTCCTTGAAAGTCCTATTGCTGGTAGCCGGCTGCGACAAAAAGATTACGATTTTATTAATTATTTCACAGGACTTCTCGAAATTCATTAGTAGTGCAGAAGGCTTTTATTGGCCTTTCCGTTTTTTGTCTCTCATTTAGATGATTTTAGTAAACTTCAGGAATTTCATAGAGAAAGAAAATGTTCCCAAACTTAATTTTGTTCCCACCAGCCATCCTGTGTTACTAAATTGCCAACATGGCCAAATTTAAGATACAGCTTTATCGGTTTGCGGCTGCATCCGAGTCCTTTTATGTGGCCCTGTCTCTTTAGATATTGAAATAGAGTGTTTTATACAACTGTTTATGACAAAACTACTAACTTCTAGTTAGGACATTTCTTAAAGAAAACATTGTGTAAGTTTTGGAGTGTGCTAGTGCGAAAATGACACGCAGGTGCTAAGTCATGGGACGTATGTGCTTTGAAAACACTGAGCTTGTAAGGAGGAATATCGCCGAGGCCGCGGCAGCATGTGAGAGGGACTCAGTTAGAACAAAGCCAAGTCCCGGAGAGCATAGTGGAGGATCCAGGAACAGGACTTGGGCTGTTACAACTTGCGACCCTAAAGCAGGCTTTCAATGCAAGAGACTAGGATGGGCTACTCCAGAAGGAGCATTGGGGTGGCTGGAGGGCAAGTTAAGGCTAAGTTCAATAGCTACACTGCAGACACTAGGTCCTAGGATGAGCTCCAGATGAATTTAAATCAGATGAAATATGTTTAAAATGAGAGGTGGTAAAGGAGAAATTTGACAGATTTACATAAAACATTAAATGCACCAATAAAAAATAAAACAATTATCTCAAGAAGTCTTTGTACCAAATATAAGAGTTAATAGTATCCGATATGTTTAAAATTCATCCAAATTTTAGGCGCATTGTCAAAACACAAACAGATAAGTAGGCAAGGGAAATGCAAAGCAGTTCGTCTGAGGACAGAGACTTACAAGCTATCACATGGAAAACTGCGCATCACTCAGATACTCTAAGGCAGTGATGGCGAACCTTTTGAGCTCGGCGTGTCAGCATTTTGAAAAACCCTAACTTAACTCTGATGCCGTGTCACATATAGAAATTTTTTGATATTTGCAACCATAGTAAAACAAAGACTTATATTTTTGATATTTATTTTATATATTTAAATGCCATTTAACAAAGAAAAATCAACCAAAAAAATGAGTTCACGTGTCACCTCTGACATGCGTGTCATAGGTTCACCATCACTGCTCTAAGGACTAGAAGAAAACGTATTGCAGTCATACTATCCATTATTTGGTTATTTGGATGGTAATTTAAATTAACCTGGCTTTTAGAACATTTACCACAAGCTAGGATATAGGTTCTAGTGTTCTCGTTTTTCAGATGAGACAACTAAGGCTTAGAGGAGCTAAAATTGTGCCTGAGATCCCAGAGCTAAACCCGATCCCGGTCTGAATAGAGTCCCTTGAGGGTCCAGCTGCCAGCCCAGCACGCTGGTGAGGAAGTGCCCGCGTCCAGCCGTGATTGTGAAGACGCCGAGGATTTTTTATAAAGCCTCGGAGTGGAAACCGAACAGTGTGTGCACCATGGTTTCTTCTACATAAAAATATGCCAGCGTGGAAGATAAGATTTAAAAATGATAGTTGTATTCTGGTACAGTATTATAGATGACTTGGTAATATGTTTGTGTTTCATATGAATTAAAGGAAAAGTATATAATACTTAGTAAAATGTGTCTGCCTAAAATGCATTTTTAAGTAGGGCACCTAATTTTTGTTTCAGCATTTGTTCTTATCTTACTGGGAACGTGAACCCCAATATCTGTGGCGGCTTACATCCTTTCATGATACTTTCAAAGCCATGTTAACAGGAAGTCCTTCCTTCCCCCCTCCCGCCCCGTCTGTCCAGGTGGCGCTGGTGTTCCCCAACAACGACCCTGCTGCATCCATGGTGGCCTTCTACGGCTGCCTGCTGGCTGAGGTCGTTCCTGTGCCCATAGAAGTCCCACTCACGAGAAAGGTAAGGCACGCGCTGTTTCATTAAAGCCTGCTAATGGGAACGGCAGGCTCGGCTACACTGGAACGTCCTCTCATGAGGTCAGAATGTGCAGACAGCTCATTTAAAATGGCTTTTCGTCTCAGCAGGGTGTGGATCAAGAGGTTTTCCTTGTTTCTGAGGCTGCCAGGATTTCAGCAGTTAGCTCAGTGAAGGGGACAGTAACCTCACGCTCGGCTCAGCTGCTGGGTTAGCAGGAACAGTGTCTCCGAGGCAGAGCTTCTGTGCATTGTAATTCAATTGAGCCAAGTAATCTGTCAGTAAAGCAAGTGTCTGAGTGTCTTGTTCCTCAGCTTCATGACACTGGAAATTGGGTAAATGACATTTTTTTTATTTCGAGGGGGGGCAGTTGTTGCTTTCATTCAGATGTTCGGACATTATCAAGTCCCAGGTGCAGCTACAGTTTATGAGATCCTATTCCATAATTAGAATAAGTAGCTAATCTCATTCTTACAATGTTAGCGTGGTCCAGTATAAGAAGGAACGTTGTGCTGTCCTGCACGTCAGTGTATGTTTTTTCGTCCAGGTCAATGACTTGCTCTCCATACTCTAGAGCTATGGTAACGGGAGGGAGGAAGATAAAGGAAGGAAACCCTACAGGGTTGACACTGATGGCCACCAAAGACAGGTGGTTTGATGTTGTCCAAAGAGTCGCATCTGGAAGCCATGGAGTGGTCCCCTCTGGCACGCAGGCTCCTTGACTTCAGAACATGACATTTGTTGTCTTAGAGAACTTCTCTTCATTTTAAATAAAAGAACCATTAGCTCAGGAACAGTTGAGAAGAGGGTAGGATGTACACATGAGCATAGGTGATGACATGTGCTGCTCCCACTGGACTCGTTTTAAAATAATGGGCCGAATGTGAACCAATTTTTCTGAATCCTGAATGTTGCTTATTGAACCTGACTGAACAGTCTAGTCCCATGTACCTTTATTTATTCTCTGTTCTAAATCTTGGGGTCAGAGTTCATGCGATGTATGGCATGGAGAGGAGTGTCCACATATCTGTGCCAGGACAGGCCTCGAGTGGTCACAGCAGACCTGGAAAAGCCTGCCACCAGTACCCTCTCGAGGTGGCTGAGCTGGTCTGGTAAGGCCAGCCATCAGCACAAATCTGTCAGCCGGTGATTTAGGCTGAGCCAGAATTTCTTCTTCGTGGACACAGGCTCTGCCACAGGCATGTGAGTCTGACAGAAAAATAGCAAGGCCTTCAGGATGGGGGTCAAAGGTGAATATTCTAAGTAGGATAGAACCAGGGACAGGATGGGCTCTGTGGACTGCAGGAGTCAGCCAACCAGGGCCAGCCCCTCAGCA